CCCATGAAAAACAGGCTAAAAAACAGGCCGATCTCAAATATGTATAAAAAAAAAGGTGTTGATGGCAGCAGCACAGCTGATATTTCCCTCCAAGCTGGAGTCACAGCCAAACAGGAAAAGACCAGATGAAGCTACTTTGAGTGAAAGCAAAGGGAGCCGAACGTTAGAGATTGACGTAACAGATTCTGCAGAGTGGGAAAATAGAGATGGAATGAAACAAAATGATGAAATAGGGGTCCCTATGTCCTCCAGCAGTCTAAGCCTATAGCAGCATAACTATAGAGATAGCTCAGGATAACCTGAGCCACTCTAACTATAAGCTTTATCAAAAAGGAAAGTTTTAAGCCTAGCCTTAAAAGTAGACAGGGTGTCTGCCTCACGGACTAAAACTAGTAGCTGGTTCCACAGGAGAGAAGCCTGATAACTAAGACGTCCAGAGCCAACTGCTCTGTTAGGGACATAAGGAACAATCATATCTCGGATTTAAGATGTAACTGTATTCTAAAACTTGTGGTTTTTACCAAAAACCTAAAACCTCTTTATATTCAGCTGCTACAAATGGTTGTGAAAAATCCTTGAAAGCGTAGCAGAGAGCTTTCACTGGGGGAGGACTAACTTGCTGAAAAATGATAAAACGTTTTTTCCTACTCATCCAAGAAAATAAAGCCGAGCTTCTCAATAGGTTGGAAAGAATAGAAGAGAGAGGCTTAACTACCGGATCATCTGACCTCGAATCGCACAGGTGTCAAAGTTGAGGAGTTGAAGAAGCGTTGGGTGCGAGCACAGCATTGTATTTAGATGGAGTTACATTTAAAAACTTTTTATCCTATATACTCTACAGTGGCTGCATTTTTAATGAAACAGTCATGTTTAAATCGTCCTCATGCATTTCTATTTTTTAACTCCTAAGCTCCCTGGTTAGATACTGCATAATTAATCAAAAGGCAATAAGGTAAAAACAGAGTAACTCTATGGATAATAAGGATGCTGCCATAGCAACACTGACAGGAGTGCACTTTAGTTAGGATCTGATTCAAGCACCAATATTCTCTGGCTTCAGATTTTAAATGTTTAAACTCTAATACCAAAGATAAATCAATGTTCTACTGCTACTCTTGTTTAGAAACCTCAAAACATTCCCCTTTTGTTCAGAGCTCATCTATTAGTGCCGTCTCCAGGGTGAAATTTTTAATCTGGTGCTTAGATTTAATTCTAGCTTATTTTCATTACAGCTTTAACCCTGTAATGCCAAAATATATCATATTTGATACATACGGTTTCTGAAATGTTTTTCATCTGACACTTTTGCATAATTTAATGGTAAAAACTTTGCTCAAAATCCTATTGTACACAATCAGATATACCTGATAACAGAGGGCAGAAGACTACACAAACAATAATCTTGACTTATCACATAGTAATAAATAACTAATATCAAAAATGTATTTCTGTTTTTTTCTTTTTACATATTTTGTTAAAAGGGCAAATAAGGACTCCCGCTTCCACTGTTCTTTCTAGTTGTGGCCAGTAACGTTAGCATAGCATCTTAAGGCTAATCATTGGTCTCCTCAATATTAGAATTCTGATTTCCTATCCAGCAGTCATCTCTGTCATCAATACAATAAAGGGGGCTACATGTTGGTGCAGTTTGTAGCGCTGTTGCCTTGCAGCAAGAAGGTTCTGGTCTTGACTCCTGCTCCCTGAGCATGTGTGGGTTCTCTCCGGGTACTCCAACTTCGTCCCACAGTCCAAAAACATTACTGTTAGGTTAAATGGCTTCTCTAAAGGCTTGAAGGTTTGTACATTGTTGTGTGTCTCTGTGTTGTTCTGCAACAGACTGGCGACCTGTCCAGGGTTAACCCCACCTCTCGCCCGTAGACTGGTGGTGTTCTGCCAGATGAGCATACCCGATCAGACCAGCATACCATAATCAATACCTGTTGATCCTTTTAGTTTTGTATGAAAAATAGACTTTAAACTAACTCAACGGGCGTGTATCCATTTTGTCATCTACAAAAAAACAATTACTTTTGGTGTTTTTTTGAAGTGTATGGCAATCTCAACCTAAAAAAAAAATGTTTTTTTCACAAGACTAAACTGATACACGCCCGTTGAGGTATTTTAAAGTCTATTTTTTGTACAAAACTAAAGGGATGAATGCAAATCTGACGTCTTGACTACGGGTATGCTGATCTGACAGAACACCGGAGATGGGTCGCAGCCCCACCGCAACCCCAACCAGGACTAAACTGAAGAAAAGGGATAGAAGCTTATAAAGGGAGGGAAAAAGCTATACAGTATCTGCAAACTGTTGAAGTTAGGTCCCCCTGAAGGCAGCTGCGCCTCGGAACTTCCCCACCGGTTCTTTACCTGGGAGCAAGTTATTTATAAAAAAGGACTATAAAACAGGAGTAAAAAAGTAACGCCGTTTATTCCAGGCTAGGTCGTTACAGGACAGAGAAATGGCTTCGAGTCGGCACAGCTCTGGGCTCAAAAAACATCAGCGAGCGTCCGGCAAAGATTAGAAATTGATATGTCTGGGTTTAACTGTTAACCAAAGTTCCTTCAAGCCGAACTTTCCTTAACATAAACAGTGAATCTAACATTAGCTTAGCTCAGACGAAGCTGCAAATTTAATCTCAATCCTTTTGGAGCATATTGCTACTGCGCCAGAACACATTTAATACTGTGTGAAGCTTATTTTTTTAAATGCTAAAATCACTTAACCAATTTTCAATTCAGTTTATTTCTATTGCTCCAATTAACAACACGTGTCATCTCAAGTCACTTTCCAGTTCACCAGATCATCCAGTCAGATTGATTCAAAGTTTTCTATCTAAGGAAAACCAGTTGATTGCATCGACTCAGTGTCCCTCACACTAAGCATGCTTGTAGCAACAGTGGAGAATGTAAAATTTTTTAAGAAAACGTTGATTAGCCAGAGGGGGTGAGACTTCCTGAAAAGTAGCTAATAACGGGCAGTTTACTTTCCCTGATTGGTTCCACCCTAAAAAGTTATGAGCACAGAAATGGATCCACAGGAGCAAATCAAAAGGAACATAAAAAGCAAGAGAGCAGAGAAGGAGCATGAACTGATGGTTGGGACATATTGGGAGCCTAAGACTATTAAATCTGCAGGTATTAAACGTTCAAAATGCTTGTGGAGGGTAGTTTACTTGGTTATGTTTTTAATAAAACTGGCCGTATAAGTATTTATTACACATCTGCACTTTTGGCAGAATTCTGGCTTTATTTTAAACAAACCTTTTATTACTTTATTGCCGGTAAGCTGCTCCTATAAATAAAACTTGCAGTTCAAGGTTTAACATCCATTGTTTCAACCTACACTCTGTTTGTGTGTCCAAGGGAGCACACAGATATTTGGCAGCCAACAAATTTATCCGAACATTATGCCTTCACTCTGGTATTCTGCTATAGCGGTGGGAAGGTCAGCAGCCAGTGAATTCAGCCCACATCCGAATTATTGTCCTTTGAACCTTGAGATGGTGTAAAGCTCCGCCAAGGTTAATGCTGTATTAGGTAATCGACCTCTTCTGGCAAATCTGGAGTGTGTGAGGAATTGATGTCATCTTCAGCATTGCTTGTGGCTGTAGAGCAGCTCTCATGGTTTGGCTACACGCAGTATATCTGGCAGCCACATGTCACAGAAGTCACTGTAGTGCTCTGTTTACACGCATCTGTTGGAGCCAAGGACCCGCAGCCTGGAAACGCCTTCCTGTTCGTCCTCATGAATTCATTCTTCATATCAAACCTGTAAAAGTTTCTGTCCTCTTTTATTTTTGTGACCTGTTTTTTTTTGCTGGTGTTGTAGAAATGGTTCAAAACCACTGGCTGTATATAGATATAAAAAAGGGGGACATTACTGGTCTGATATAAATCAGTTGGGACTTTTCCTTATGATGTTTTTTAGAACAAACCTAACCATTTTTTTTTTATTTTGCTTGCATGCCTTTTTTCTCCCCACTCCCCAAAGCATCACAATGCTTTCAGCTCTGTCTCTAGGGGTTGGCTCGTCCCATGAGGACCTCCAGCATGTGCTCTGACGCATGGCCTTTTCCTCTAGGACCCTGGCTTGTTTAACATCAGAGCAGCAGAGGGGGAACAAGAGAAGGAATGTCTGGAGATGGGAGGGAAGGAAAGAGGAAAGGAGAGAACCGAACACGAAATTCCATCTGTTCTGGGTTGGATGGCTGTTTTTTTTTTTTTTTAGCCTGGAGAGAGCAGCTTTGAATCCAATTTGTCTCTCTTGCCTACTGTGTCCCAGAAGTCCCTTGAGGGGTGCTGAAAAAACGCAAATAGCTGACAAGCTTTTACGCTGGGTCAGGTCAGAGCTGGACTGACCTGGTGTTGGACAGTTTGTGTCTCAATAGGGTCAAAATGGATATTCTGTGTTGCAAAAAGTTTAGTGCAGCTTTAAGTTTTTTTATTATTCATTTCTCTGCTGTTAATTTGATTCTTCTTTCTCGTTCTTTAAAACATAAATTTGCATGTTTTCAGTCGACATTTTTTCAGATTTTTTTTGTTGAATATCTAAACAAATAAATAATAATAATTTGAACTTTATTCATCTCACAATGAAGAAATTTGTTTCTGCATTTAACCCATCCCCTTGGGGAGCAGTGGGCTGCCATTGTGCGGTGCCCGGGGAGCAGTCTGGGGCTAGGCGTCTTGCTCAGAGACCCAGAGTGCAGACTGTGGGGATCCAACCGGGTACTTGCAACCTTCTCAGAGCACAAGTGCACTGCTCTAACTCCTAGGCCAGCACTCCCTCATGTTCTAATCCTTTTGTGAGTTTTCTTTATTTCTCTGAACTTTACTTGCACCATTCTCAGGGTTTATGAGATGATGCTGCTTCAGATGGAAAACAGTCCTCTTAAAGAAACAGGGAATCCATTAAAGAGATTTTACTGCCGCATTATACCGACTCCAAGAGAGAAAAAATATGTTTTTGACTGATGTTTTGCTTCTTTTATTTTCAGGGGAAAGGGGCCACTGAAAAATACTTCTGATGTCATCAGCGCTGCCAAGAAAATTGCCGAAGCGGGATCCAGAATGGACAAACTGGGCCGCACCATCGCTGACCTTGTAAGTTACAATGAACGTGTATCACCAATGGCTCATCTTGGTGTCAGCAACGCCTGAGAGCTCTTGGAATCAGATTAATATCTTTAGTTATGCCTGTATCCATGTATTGGGCTCAGTCATGTATTAATTCTGTTCTTTTCTGTCACTCATTTAAACATGCATGTTTTGAAATAATGTGGAATTTAAAGCTTTCCTCCTTTTTTTTTTTTTTTGGTACAAAAAGGCTTTTAAAGCTTTCGGTGGTAAGGTAGCACTTGTCTGCTAGAAATTATTTCAAAAATCAATACGCAATAGGGCAGCGCCATTAATCGAATTTCTATTTTCTTTCAATTTAAGTCAGACAAATTGGGACAGACATCATGAACTGTCTTTTTTAGTTTTTAGAGAAATATATAGAATTCAAGCATAGTTTAATCTCCCATGAAACTAAGAGAGGAAAACCAAACATTGGTTTACTTATTATAGGATTATTAAGAAAGATGAAACCAATTATCTTACTTAGTAATTGATTTAAATGAGTAGATTTTAATTGGTTTAACTTATAGGTGTTATTTAAGATCAGTGTCAGTTCAAATGCCTTAGTTTATTGAATGCCAAATCTTGGCTTTGTTGTTCTTAAATTTAAACCCAAATTAAGAAATATGACTGAAAATGTTTTTTAATGGTTTGTTGACAAAAAAAAAAAAAAAAAAAAAAAAAACTATTAGAAATATGAAGACCGCTTCACAGAATATATGGACCTGCTGTATTTCTATTGGAAAAATGTTGCTTTCCTGTGACATTTTTGTTAAACTGAGGTGTGACAAAGATTGAAATATGTAAAGGCTGAGTGGTGAGGAGAGTCGTTTTTGAATTGTTTTAAATCAATGATTACTTCAAAGTATTTCTTGAGAATTAAGATAATTATTCTGAATATAAAGTACAGGTTTAGGTATAAAACCCTGCCTTCAATCTAAAATCCCAGTCGGTAATTCAACACAAGGCTTTACTTAGGTTTGGGGATTCTGCCTTCATGTTGGCACGCCTACAGTATTGTTGCACTTTATTGCTCTTTACTGAGAGGCTGTACATAATTTTTCTTTTAACTTACAGAAAGACTTGTTGCGTCTGCATTAGGCCTTCACGTCAGTGTGAAAGCATAGAAAACTTTGCTGGTGAAGTTTGCCACAAAGCACACAGAACTCCTCTGTTGGAAGGATATGTTTGCTTCTGTGGTCGACACGTACCAGCTGTGGGTTTTTCTAAAACCACTTTTGTTCAAGAACGCGCTTCCTCTGAAAGGACACAGTCTTCAGATGTCACAGATTTCTGCTCCGAAAAACAACAGTTGGCTTTTTCTGTCTCCCTTAATCTGGTTCGCTGACGACAGATGACATGCTGGCAAAAACCAACACCATAAAGGCGGCTTAATGTGGAATAGGTCCCGTCATAGTAAAACGGTTGTTTGTTTTACAATTTTACATCCGAGGACAAGATGAAAATCACCTGTTTTTTTTTTTCTTCTTATATCATTAAAGATATTCTTTTCTAGATGTAGAAAAATACAATGTTTGTTTTAGCCTAGATTAAGAAACTTTGTGGAAGAGACAAGACATCAGGTGATTCAGGAGGATTTAAGAGGTTAAAGTGAAAAGCTGGTGTTCTAATCAGATATTGTTGATTAACTGATCATCAGCAGGTGTAGCTGCAGCAATAAAAGCAGGAGGCCTGGCTGTGTTCTGCTCTAGCGCATTCTGCTGTGTGTTAATACAAAGGCAGGGGGAAATGTCCATTAATCTAGGAAGGCTTCTAAATCCATTTCCAAATGTCTTCAAGTCAGTCATCCTGCAGTGAGATTATTCACAGCTGGGAAACATTTAAGACGGTTGTCAATCTTTCGTGGAGTGGACGTCCCAGCAAATTCACCTCAAGGTCAGACTCTACTGGGTTTACATGAACTATAAAAACGTCATATCATGCTGTAGAGGCATGACTTGTTAAAGTTCATAACAGTGAAAACAGGACAGGGTTCCCGCAGGTCCTTAAAAAGTCTTAAAATGCATTGAATTCTTCAAAATAAAATTAAGGCCTTAATTGGTATTAAAATGTCTTAAATAAGTCTTTCATAGGTCTTAATTTAAAAAAAAGATAAATAGGATTATTTTTATTACAATTTATTTTTGTAATCTAAATAAAACGTTAAAATTGCCTTTTTTTTTTTTTTTTTTTTTTTTTGTATAAAAAAAAAATAACGGCTCGCCATTATTGGTTCCGTCACGATAGCGGAACCAATAAAAGCGTTGTTGCGGCCGAGACATTTGGTAGATGCGCCAATAACTTTTTATCTGGAAAATATGAGCAAGTGTAAATGTAACCAGAATTGACTCCAGCCAAGAGTTTTCTCCATGGCTAAAACCAGGGAACATACATGAGGCTCAGTGGATTTTGTGCAAGAAGTCATTCAAGCTCAGAACGATGGTAATTAAGGCAGTGGAGTCGCAAATGCGAAGCACGAAACACAAAGCGTCAAAATCAAGTTTCCGAGAAACAGCCGGTATTTCTCTGTTTTGTTCCACCCTTGTCTCTGCAACGCCTCCACTTATCACCAAATCAAACATACAAAGAAAACGATATAAAAGAAAAATAACTGCAAAAAGACTTAAGAATGGTTATGTTGTGACTTTAAATCAGATTTTTGTTCCCTGCTAAAACAAAGTTTGTGAATTCAGTTAAATAATTGTTAAAATATATCTCTTGTTTGTGTGTTTTTAGCTTTCTTCCTGTATGGGAAGCTTTTCAAAATTTGAAACAGTAGTGCAGTGGTTTATGTTAAAATAAACCTTTGGGTTAAGTTGTCGCAAGCAGGTTTTTCTTGTGTTTCTTTTGAATTTGGTCTTAAATTTTTATTTCAAGTGGCATTAAAAAGTCTTGAATTTAACTTGCCTTATGCAGTAGGAACCCTGCAGGAGAACGTTGAAAAATATTTGTTGATACAAAAAAAATATGGAAGTAGAACCGATATTTGGAGTTACATCTGGATGAATTAGCATTTGGAGATATGAGATTAAGGTAAACATGGAAACCAAGACCGTTTCTTAATTCACAAGAAAGCGAGTACAGACTTGTGTCCTCGCCAAGTATGTTTTTGAGAAGACGGAATACTGTAGTGTGGACATTGGGAGAATGGGAGCACACAGCATAAATATGGGTCAATTGAACAGAAGCGTACTCGTGACGTCACCATACGCTCGGCTCATCTAGAGCTGCTTTTCACCTCCTGTTATTAATAGTCTAGATTATAAAAAATTCTGACTTTTTTCATTTATTGCAGAAATAATAAGATAAAAACAAATCAAATGAACATTTTGCCAATTAAAACAAAAAGCTCTGCATCAGAGCCAGCAGTCCTTCACACACGGCTATGCAGAGAGAGGGCTGCTGCGGACAGGCTGCAGTTACCCTTGGAGGTCCGCTGGTTGCCGTGGTCCTCTCAACTTCAGAATTTTTTTTTAAATTACGCATTAAATCGGTAAATGGGCCATATAGTGACGCTTAAAAGTATAATGTTCTCGCCTCAAATGATATTAAAATGTACTTTTATTGAGCAACAGAAAAGAGAACTTTTAATTTGATACTCTGAGCTCTGTGAGCGCTAACCTGGAAGCTAATGCTGCTACTGCTGCAGCAGTGCATTCTTGGACCGCTGTCAATCTCAAGAACAGACAAGTCTGCTCTGATGCATGCTGGGTAATTAGGGAGGGGCGAGAACAACATCTGGGGACTTTGTCTGTTCTCGGTTTGCTGTTCTTGTGAATTGGAACAGTACTAGGGCTGAGGATGATGACGTTTCACAAGTACACGATCACATGAGAACGCAAAAGTACACATATTGAGAAACGGATCAAATTTAACACAAACCTCCTCCCAGCCTTTAAGCATGATGGTGGATCGGTGGTGATTTGGGCTCGCTTTGCAGCCGCACACATTGGGCACCTTCCTGTCAACCATGAACCCCTTTATAAACAAAGGTGTCCTAAAAATATGACCTTTTTCTGATTGACAGCTGGAATGTTACATAAACTAGGTCTTGAAGGGACCTGAACGCTGGCAACAATTCTAGAGTATAACGACTGAAAATAAGGAAAATCCATTCAAAGTCACCAAACTGAGTAAATTACTTGAAAGATGCACATAATTTCCTCTAAACTACGATAAATCTAAACATTGTTGTTAAAAAACAGTGACTCAGGATTCTCCCCAATGATGTGAAAGACATGCTGCCTCCAATTTACCACTGCTAAAAGTGCTTTTATAATCTTTCGAATTTAATGGAATATTTGATGGGTACGTTCTTGTTAGAGCTGGACAATTAATTGCATTTGTATTTTAATTACAATTTTCAAATCACTGAGGAACTAATTTTGGTCAAATTTAGCAAAAGTCAAACACTGATTTTCTCACTCCAGGTATGAACTTATAAATCTCTGAAGAGAAACATTGCCATGGTTGTGCTCGGTGCAAATGAAAATCAGGGTAAGTCTCAATACCGGTTGAAAGGAATCCCAACTGGATATCGGTAAAATAGTTCAGCTCTTGTGTTTTTGACACTTTAAGTAATAAAGTTAAAACCCGACTGGGCTGATCAATTTGAATGTCAGGTTTAACTACAACACATAGATTTGGTTTGATTTTGGAAGTGGAGAAACCTCCAAAAAGCAGCGGTGCTCATTACCGCTACACCTGCTCTCTGAAAGGTTAAGATTCAGTAATGACTTTCTGGGTGTCTAGTTAGTGCTCAACTATTGGATTTGCGGATACCTTCACTAACTGGAAACATCTGCTCTTAGGCTCCAGCAGATTTCTCTCCCTCATTGTCAGACATAATGAGCTGCTGGCCCCCTGGAACCCAGCACATCCGATATTTTATTTAAGGCGCCCTCAGACATTTAATATTGGAGAAGGCTGTCTATCACAAAGTAACTGTCTTACCTGTGCTGACCTAATTACATTTGAATCATATG